TTTTCAATGAATAATAATAATGATAATGATGATGATAAATGGAACCAAACATGAAGACGATTGACTTCACGATTTTTTTAATATTACTGAATTAAAATATATTAATGCAACTTGTATTATGCGTGTGCCTTCGGAGCGGTGCTCAACTCCTTGCGGCCAGGTGGCGAAAGGTGCTACTCCTAGCGGGCTTGCCCTCGTGCGTGCGACTCGGAAGCCCTGAGCAGGTTTTGCATGCTCGTACGCTGCGATGCCAGAGGGATCGTGTGTTTGTTATTAAATTATTTCTACTTGCTCGGAAATTGATGCACCGTATTCGTCCCTTTTACCCTCCAATGCCGCCAAAGCTGCGTTCACTCCTCCGCTGTTCTGTTTCACGTGTCCTCCTTTGGCACCATATTCTTTCAATGCCTTTTTCGTGGGTGTGCTCTTTGCAGAGCTTGAGTGCGTGTGACTTCTCGACAGCCTATCATATACATTGCCTTCCGTTGGCGTCTCGGATCTTGTATGCGCGTGTTGCCCTCTGTGTTCACTCGTTACACTTGCGTTATCATCAAAATCTGGAGAGCTGGTTTGTCGCGTATGAGAAAGTTCTTTGGATCCTTGACGAACCATGCTACCATGTTTGTCGGCGCTGCTAAAGTACCCACTGTCACGTGGACTTTCGTGAGTAGAATCACCGTAGGATTCCACGTTTGAACTGTTATTTCGACTATGAGAAGGTGTGTCACGAAGTGAACTTCGACGTGTCGACGATTGTTTCACATGTTGGATGGACTTGTTGGTGCGTTCGGTGGTTGGCGTGCGTGGAGTTTCTCCGAAATCCTCCTTTGGACTGATCGGACCGACAAGTGACGGTGGTCGTTTTAATCGTCGGCCACTTGATCCCGTCCTATTAAGACTGTGACTACTTCCAACGCTATTTCGGTTCTCACCCTTGGCCGCCTTAGATGATGCGCCCGGTGACGTCGGTTGGGTCTTTGTCGCGGTCTCCGCGGCCACCTCTTTCTCACGTGGTTGAAGGGTTAACCAACCTTCTGGTATTGGTGGTCGTGATCGAATCGCAGAACTTATCTGAGAAGGCACGTCTACCGGAGCGATTTCCACGGGGGATGAGTACAAGGCTGCGGTCTCAGCTTCCACGAAGTAGGAGTTGCGTCTTGAGGATGGTGTATTCTCGAGAGGACCGGGTGTCGACACGGCGTTCTGAGTCACAACCTCGGCCCGCGTGGTCTCATAGAAACGATCGAAGAGTGTTGACATTTCATCTTTCGGCGACGAAGGATTAGATGATCTCCCGGTGAGGTGTCGCAACTTCTCTTCCAAATCCCTATTTCTCTTTTCATACTCTGAGGTCGTGAGAATTATTGCTTTGCGCATCGCCAACACCGTATTCCTTAGATCGACAATGTTCCTCTCCTGGTGTGCCAGCGTCATTTGTTTGGATCGATCGCAGGCACGAAGTTTAACTATGTCCTCGAAGAACGACTCCAAGATGGTTTGACTCTCTAACCCGTCCAAATTTCTCAGAATGGAGACCGCGACATCATAGGGATTATCGGGTAAAGAACGTTTTCTCTCCTTACCCGTCTTACCGCTTGTACTATGATGTTTCTCCTCGGGTTGGACCGCGTCATTCTCCACTTGTTGTTCGGTCGAATTTCTAGCGAAGTCCGCTTGTAATGCACGGATTTTGGCATTGACGTAAGAAATTTCCGAATTCACGGACTCGATGTCTTCGTCCATAACTAGAGCCTCGGGACTCCCGTCGGATACCGCCTCGCGTGCAATGATGATCTCCTGTTTATCTTTCAGGAGTTTGTCACGCTTCTCCAACAATTCGTCAATCAGCGACGCCTGCTGGCTATTGGAGATATGTTTCTCGATGACATCGTCTAACGCCTTCTTCTTATCAAAACCGCTACCAAAGATATCTTCGAAGATGTTGCTGAAGTCATCGGAGCCACTCCTTGATGGCGATTCCTTTTTAACGCTGACTCGACGCTTCCCTCGGAATGCTTTGGCAATCGCCTTTGACGAGGAGGTCTTCTTGAGAAGAGTCATTACCGACTTGAGTTTTCCGGCACTCTCGATGGCCTCGTGTTGTTTCTTTTCGAGCATAATCTTTTGCAATTCGTTGGTCCTCTCGAGGCGTCTCCTGACCTCCTGAGAATTCTTTTCCTTGCGTCTCAGGGTTTGAATCTCGATTTGGTTACGCTCAATCGCTTCGCGGAAACGATCGGAATCTTCCTTCATGCGCTTGATTATGCGCATCTTGTCAGCCTTGAGTTGCTCGATCTGAGCCTTCAAGCTCTTGATCATGGTCTCATTCTGACTCTTTGCGGTGGTGTTCATCTGGGTGGCCTCGTTGTACTTCCTGCGAAGATCACCGATTTCCTGAATGAGATGTTTCATCTTGTGCTCATAACGAGCCTTGAGTTCGACAAGGATGGAATGCTTATCGCGAGTGCTGATACCAGTTCCCGCGCTTGCGGCGCGTTTGACGGCGGCATCGCGTTCGTGTTGTAAAGCAATCAGGTTCTCTTGCATCTGCGCCAACCTCTGTTCGTATTCGGCGCGCATATAAGTGAATTCGGCCTCGACTTTCTCCAATTGGTTGACGAGTTGTTCCTTGACAGCGATGTCGGATCGTATTTGATGCAACATGCGAGTGAAGGCGACAGCATTTTGCTGTGAAGATCCGCCGGTGCTATTTTGCGAAGAAGACTTTGTGGAGCTAGGTGAGATCTGTTCGGAGAAACTGACCGAACGGCTGGAGTTTGAACCGCGGCGATTAGATGATTGAGTTGTCGCTTGGTGGTTCGAGTCGTCCCACGAAGGAACTTCAATGGTCTGAATCTCGCTGAAAGACACGCTGCTCGACCTTCGCTTTCCTTCCTTGGCATTCATGTGATTGAGCAACATCTGGTCAATGTGACTTTCGCTCTTGGTCGATGACGGGGTATTGATCATTTGACACAAGATAGGATCGTCGTCCTTGAGATTGAATAGTTGTTTGACTTGCTCTTTGACTCTCTCGAGAGACTCCCTGTGTCTTTTTAGCCTTCGTCGGGGCCTATCGCTCTCGTTACCGTCAGTGCTGTGACGCGTTTCTTGGTTTCCATCAATTTCCTCGCCTTCTTCACCAATGTGAGAGAACATATTCTTGGCCTCTTCCAAGTTGTGAGCGATGTTCATGTGTTGTTCGGACGATGGTGGCTCACTTGGAAGTTGCCCATTGAAGCTGGGAGACTCTTCGGAGATAGGGAAGTGGCCGCTGGCTCGAGCCTTTAGCTTCTTTGAACGCTTCTTTTTCTTCTTACTTTTCTTACCTCCATCATCGCTTTCATTATTACGGCCCTCGTCTTCCGAGTTATTTTTATTGTTGGCCAACAATTCGTCATAAAATTTGATGTGTCCCTTCTCTTTGCCAGGGGTGGAACCGGCGAACGAGGATTTACGTGGAACGGTCAAAGTTTGAACTTGTCCTTGAAGTTCGGCCACCTGGTTCTTGTAATCCATTATTTGTTGTTCGTAAGATTGTATGATGTGATGTGTTTTCATGTGATGGGCGCGTTCAGATTCTGAAAGGTCTTGACGGTTAAAATGAATGTCCATGAGAAGGCTATTCTTCTCGGTGTTGGCCATGATAACCTGTTGCTCGGCGGCTTGAAGTTTCATCTTTACGACGCCCAACTCGTTCTTAAGGCTCTTTACTTCTTCTTCGTATTTGCGCGTGGCTTCTTCGTCGAGACCATTTGAGCGCAAAGTTTGGATCTCCAATTTTAGTCGGCTTATCTGTCCTCTTAGTTGGTTGATCTCGATCGAGTTTCCTCCGTAACTCTCGTTAACACTAACTTTATTCTTGATGTTACGTGCCCGATTGGCATATTTCAATGTGTTGAGTGTTTCCATAAAGTTTGAGTCGGCAGGAGACACACATGCAAGCATGAGAGTTTGACTGATGGCAAAAAAGAGGGTGACATGAATTAAACACAGGCCCAAGCATTAAAAAACTCGATCCATTTCACCAAACGACCGTTACCTGTTACCACCAAGAGAATCTTGCAGTAATCGGGTCAATTTTGAATCTCTATACGGTATATGCGTTACCTTCCGCGACTCGTCGCCAAGTGCACTGATGACATTACCGAGGGCCAAAAGACCTCCGTTTATGGCAATCCCTTCCTTTGCGCGATCGCCTGAAGCATTTGTTCTCTTGAGCTGTGCCACGGAGGATTTCAAGGTTGGTATGATAAGCGACACGAGGAGACGAAAAGTAAAAAAGAATAAAGATGAATAGCTTACCCTTTCTGAACCCGCCAAATCGACAAAATGAAACTTTGAAGTTATTTTTGCTGTTAATGACTTTGGTTTCTTGCTCTTTTTTGATGAAGAATCAGCAGCAGCAGCAGCCTGCGGATCATTCTCTTTGTTCTCTTCGGGATTCTCGATCTTTGTTTGCTTTAATATTACCGAGAAGATTGCGTGTGAACGGGAGGATACTGCGTTCATATCTGTGTATGCAACGGTTCTGGCCAGTGAGCCTTTGGCGAGTTGTCTGGAATAGGGAAAAAAAAAAGGATGAGTATCATTGGTGCGAAGGGATTGCAATCAACCATCGAGGATGACACCACATACGCGAAGAGATCCTCGGGAGAACTGACGGGCACTTCTTTCACACCGGCCCAATATATTTGACCATTTGCGTCTTCTCTAATCATCAACTCGCTCTTTCCTTTTTTACCGCCTTCGCGACTTTGTGGGTTTAACAAATCGATGAGGTCTTCATTATATAATTCCAAGAAGGAGACCAACACCTCGTATTCGTATGCGGGGTTCTTGGCCTTACGCTCGGCCAAATCGCTGAATAGATGATTTATGGCACGTGGTACAATACCTGTGGGGAAGGATTACGTCAGCAAATCATATAACGTCACAAACAGTTAGTGATAATAATGAAGATTATGGAGATTCGGTGTTACCCATGTGCTCAGGCTTTATATCTGCTCCTAATGTGGTTCCCATAGAATAGGTTTTACCACTCCCCGTTTGACTATTGATATGCATAAATTAGATAAATGTAAATTGATAGGTTGAAAAATTACATAACAATAAAATCTAATAGATAATGATTATTACCCGTAGGCTAATATAGTCACATTGTATCTATAGAGGTGAAGTGAATAAAAGGAAAAATGTAGAGATTAACAACATGCGGATAAATTGTCCGGGTGGATTTGATTGTCCAGAACATGACGACTACGACGTTCAAATGTGCCGAAACTTGGTAACGTACCCTTCCACCAGTTTGTCTAGCAGTGGTTTAGCACATTCTTGGAATACATCTTCTTGCTCCGCATCTGAGGGAAACACATAATCGAATGTGAAGGAACGGTCGGTGCCGATGAGTATCTGAGTGGTGTCCGGTATTGCTGACAGGCATTCACTGCAACTTTGTTCGGTTTCCTTTTTGCTCAGGGGCCGGATTCTCAATGCCACTCTAATTTTCGTGAAATGGGGGGGAGAAGATGAGGAAGAATGGTGAGTGAAAAAAGAGAAAGAAAAAGGGGAATTTCGTTACAAAGTGCAAGACCTCGAAGGAACTTACTTTACGGAAGTTGTTGCCATTTTGTTTATTTGTTTTGTTAGTAATTTGATTGTCGGGTGTTCGATGAGAAGAGGAAATACTTTGAAAGAAAAATAAAGAACTTGAACAAACGTGTATACAATAAGAAAATTCACGAAAGAGTCTTGGAAACACATAAACGTCTTTTATATTTTAGAATTATTTTGTCTAATTTTGCATTTTTCAAAGGTAAAAAAAAGGTAATGGTGAAGAAAAAAAACCAAAGGTATTGGTATCTATCTGTGTTTATCTATTTTAGATTAAAGAAAAAAGAAAATTTTTTGTTTTTTTTCCTGAGATGCTCAAACGGAGACGGAAGTATTTATACAATATTTCATCGAAAATTTTTTTTTTTTTTTTTTTTTTTTTTTTTTTTTTTTTTTGAGTAGAGTATCTTCTGTAATAAGATATAATAAGCGTATATAAAAAAAAAAAAAATAAGTCAATGCACATAATAACTCTTACTAGTTGTCGTCGCCCCCTTGCGTTACACCCTCTTGTCACTTTAATTATCACATTAAGAGTACATCTTTATTATATGATGTACACAAAATAAAATAAAATAAATATGCACTATACTGTATATATAATAATAACGTTTGAAATAAAAAAAAAAATTTTTTTCCTCTAGAAAAGAGTTGGAACTCAGTCGAACATTTGATGTAATGACTTCGCTTAATACTTTTATCTAAAAAAAAAAAAAAAAAAAAAAAAAAGTCACGGGAATGTTCATAGAACATCTACACCTGCTATTTTTATTAATCATAAATAGATTCAATATAAATAAAAATAAAAATCATCTAAGCGACCATGTAAATTACTGTCTACTGTAGTCCCTACAGCATCATAATATAAAGCGACAAAAAAAAATTTTTTTTTTTTCATGTTACTTTAATTTTTCTTCTCTTTTTAAAAAATCAATTGAACGATGAATGGATGAATTTATTATCTCATTGCTTACGCGCGTATTTAAACAGGGATGTATACTTGATCCATTGGAATTGATGTCACCTTTAATAACCATCGCAAATATCTCCTCAAAAGCATCATATACACACCTATTTAAATTAAATTAACAAAAATAATAAAATAATAAAAAAAAAAAAAAAAAAATTTTTTTTTTACTTTTTTTTTTCTTCTCTTGATGGAGGATGAATGATTCTTTTGACCCATATACGCACTTCATCCCATCCGGCCACCCATCGTTATGAATTACAACATGTGGTCCACAATATAGATGCTGAACGTTCGTTGAATTGAATGCAATCTTACGAAAAAAGATGTCACTCATTATCTAAACGACGCGATACTCTTCTTGTTCGTGTTCTTTATCTCAATTGAAAATAATAATAATAATAATAATAATAATGCGGATGGTCACCTCGCATGATCAATAAAGACGCGGCGAATTGAAAGGAAAAGCCTTCGTTCTCATTTTTTTTTAGTCTCTTTCACTCTCTCACTTTTTTTTTTTTTTTTGCCAGCGAGAGAACAATGACGAAGGATGTACTGTATGTGTGTTGTAATGTATGTAAACTCTCGAGCAGCAAATCTTTAACGTTGCTCAAACTGCGAAAGACGGTGCGTCTTTGGATCGCCGGTGAAAACTCACCCCTCAATAAGAATCCCATAGCAGCATAAAGAAAAAAACTATTAACCCAAAAGCGAGGTGTGTGCTCGCCGATGGTCAACTGGATGACATCATCATGCTTGGTCGGATCCGAAGACGACGTCCGTGCTAACCGAGTCTAAACAATCGTTACTCAAACATCATATAATATCGGAATGGATTTTCAATCCCATACACCCATAACCTTACACCAAATGAGGGGCAATTGATGGTGCAACGAGTGTTTATTATTATTATTTTCATTATAGTGAACAAGTAGAAAATCCCAATATAATTACAACCACCATCTCTTAACAATAAAATCGTAATAATCATTTTCTCCGCATCAACGTTTAATAATGTATAATTTAACGGTGGTCACAGCTAATCTCAATTTTATTACTATTGTCCATAGTATAATATCGTATCATGTGTAAGAAGTGGGCACCCGGTGAATTGTTAAGAATAATAAGAATGAAACTCTTGCTAAAATTATTATCATGATGTATGATGTTGCTCTTTTCGGAGGTTCTACACTCATCTGAAAGAAAATTCAGGTGCAAACCGCGACATCCGTCTTCACCTTAGCTGGATCATACGAATGACTTCTTTAACGCAACGGAATAGGATAGAAGTGTTTTTCACGTCCACATAAGAGAACAAAGTATCTTTCAATTCGGGTATAGCAGGTGTTCATCAAATTTCTGCTCAAGTACTAAAACACCGCATACACATATACTATAGATGCATCTCGCACTTCGTTTCCTTCTTTTTTTTTTCAAACGACGACGCTACCAATACCGTACCCAACCTTCTTTCATGGGAACACTATACGAATAATTTCTTTTACCCCTCCCTCGTTTCTCCCAGCAAATTCCTGAATTTCGTCCAACACACTACGATCAAAAGATGGTCACGACCGTCATCAATCATCGTGGATAATTCAGAATGTACGTTTATGCAAAAATCGTTCGCTCAGACATTTAGGCGTTTATCAGGTAGAACAACCTTTTCCTGGCAATTTTCTTAATGTGGCGGAATTACGTATATATAAAAAAAAAAAAAACCATCTTATAATGGGATTACGATTTACGGTACTTCTTAAGAACAATGAGTAATATAAATCCTCATTCTTCCAGTTTCCATTTGAGATAATCCCTTGCGTATCTAGTTTATACATTCACTCTCACGTTATAGTTGCTTTTTTATTTTACATTGTTTAAAAAAAAAAAAAAAAGAAAAAAAAAATTTTTTTCTTTCTTTTTTTTTTTTTTTTTTTTTGTGCATTATTGTTCGTATCTTAAATATGATGGTGGTTACGCTCTTGCATCTACATACATGCATAGAGATTGTAGGCTATGCGTATATGCTCATAGATAAAGATCAGATGCGCGATTTAACCTATTTTGTTTGATTCTAGAATTAATAGAGAACGAATTTATGGAAATAGCGTAATATACCAGTGAACAGGCACTAGAACGGCGGGACGGTTAATACAAATTAACCAAAGAACGAAAGGATACATAATCAAGTAATTCTTTAAGGCAATTTTATAACTCTTTCTATAAAGTGTTGTCGCTTGTCGCCGTTTTTTTTTTTTTGTCGAGAGTACGACGTCGCCTCCTGACCCATCGGCATACATGTCATGAGCCCGTTAGTAGCATTATAATCACCATCTTCTTTAAAATATCAATTTATATTGTTCCATTCAGCACCTTCCATGCCCATTCTATAATATCATCTCATGCAACCGTGTGCTCGATCGTAATTAACTTTCTGAACCATTTCCTTCTACGGCCTCGTATGTAAATGCAAAACCTAAAATCGTTCGACGGTCACATGTTAAAGTAGGAAAAATAAAATAAATTCTGTGTGGGCTGGAATAGACCAATCGAATGCTAGATCAGAAATGTCCCTTTTAAAATATGGTGGACAGATAATACGCGTCTCTTGTAATCACCAACCGACGTGGCCTCAATGCTTATGCATAGCAAGGGCTGTTGCTATTTTTTTTTTTTTTAAAAAAAAAAACGGATTGAAAAAACATTTAATCATACTGTGTTTTTCAAGTTACAGGTAGTTGTGTGGCTTTCCATTGATCTCGCACTCAAGCTCTGATCTAAATGCTCATCTGGATTAACCTGTTGACCATAGGAACATATGTAACCTTAGGGCCAAAATTGAGGTTAGTCATACGCAAAACATCAGATATTACACAGATCACTAATTACCGATAAAAAGTAGAATGACCCTAATAAGTTAAGGTACGGACAAATGAAAGATACTAAAAAAAATGGCGGAACACGGACTGACAATGGACGCAAACATATTTACATATAGAACAATCAAAACGGATTACAATGCATGCCTATATCTCTGAATCTTATTTCTACCCAGAACGTGGGTTAATGAAAGTTTGAAATTCCCGGATCAGATGTCTTGGAAAATCAAAACACTGGAAAAAAAAACAAATGAGCACTGAACATCCCTACATACACTCGAGTTTAGCGTATGTAACGAGATGATGCTAACAATGTCGCAAACATGAGAAGATTTCAACAACCTTTATAAACAAAAGACCAAAAACGACTGAGTGGGAGGGAAAGATGCAAGGATGATGCACAGTAATACAATATATACGTAATCCCCGATTCTTAAAAAATAATAAGTCTCGTCATAATCAAAGTTTTGTTTGGGTTTTAATACAATGAAAGAAGGTTTTTCGGACATGTATATTGTTGAACTCGTATTTGTTGGTGAAATCCCTTGGTAAACAGATGCCGTATATAAAATGATATGCGTGTGTACGGTTATTATAAAATTCCACATTGTTTTCAAAACAAAATATCCTATCATAGCGTGCAAAATTAGGCAAAGTTCAACGTCATCCAAACGCTTATTTAAGATACTTTCTTGTTTTTTCTTATGTATAAACATTTTCTTAAAATAATAATGAAAAAAACGACTATTATGCGTGTTGCATACGAATTGGCATAATTCGGAAATGTGGTAGCACATGCACAAAACCGGAATGTTAAGATTTTTTTTTTTTTGTTAACAATGATTGTTGTTTGTTACATTGCAAAGCTAAATTCTCATTTGACCATTTGGCAAATATTAAGTTATATCTTATTTTACAATATAAATAATAGCATATACTATATATTATGATTTAAATCTATAAATTTTTATTATATTAGATATTGAATGAACACTAAAATAAGATTAAAATAAGATTTGCAAATTTATTATATTTTTATATTGTGATATCATAACATTATAAAAAAAAAGGCAAAAATAAATCAACAATAGTTTAATTTAATTTTTTTCATAATTTAAATTGTATCAATTGCATTGATTTCATTTTAATAAAAAATCAATTTTATCAAAAATATTATTTTTATTTCTTTTTTTAAAATTATAAATTCAAATTCAATTTAATTATCAATTTTTTTTAAAATATAAAATTTAAATTATCTTTAAAATTAATATAATAATAAATATTATAATTAATATAATGTTTTCTTTTTGATATTTATTAAATATAATATTAATTTGAATTTTTATAAAATTTAAGAAATATTATATACAGTATCTTATTTAAAAATTATTAATAAAATACTTTTATTTTAATTTTAATTTATAATTATACTATTATAATATATCTTTATTGAAACATTAGATAAATATTTACAAAATTATATGGATTATTTATATAATTTTTAACACATTATTTATATTATTAGTTAAAAAACTACATTACTTTAAAATATAAAAATTTTATTAAATCAATTTAAATCAAATAAAATAAAATTTTATTAAATATTTTAATTTAAATTTAAAAGATATTATTTTATTTCTTTAATTAAAAATAGATTTTTTAAAAAAAGATATGAGTAGAATCAAGTATTACTTATTAATAAATATTAAAAGTTTAAATTAATAATTATAAAAATTTTATTTAATAGTTTTTTATAATCTAGATCATTGATTTTACAGTATTTCATAAATTTTATTTTTGTTAAAATAAAGAAATATAAATTTTGTAGCTCAAATATATATATATATAATTTGTAAAATTTTATATACTAGATACTTTAAAAATCTAACATTGTTTTTAATAAATTAATACTAATAACTTTTATCTATCAAAATTATTATCAATAATTTATTACTATGGATTATTTTAAAAAATAATAAATTATTAAATTAAGATATTGAAAAAATAAAATAAAATTAATTTAAAACCTTTTAAAATTTTTTTTTATCCAGATTATTAATCTCCTTTTAAAAATAAATTATCTAATTATCTAATTAAAATATTCTTTAACTTTAAATTATTTAAAAAGCTTAATTATTTCTAAAATATAAATCTTCTTTAAGATTATTTAAAAACTTATCTTTAACTAATATATAGATTTACTTATTGTATTTTTTATATTATATTAAATTAGTTTGTCTGATCTAATAAAAAATCTTTTTAAATTTTTATTTAATAAAATAAAAACTTGAAAATATTTTGATATCTAAAAAACTTAATTAAAATATAAGAGTTGATATCTTATACAGTATAACTTTTTTTTATTTTTTATTATTATAATTATTTTTTCTAAAAACTTATTTATAAACTTTTCTATTTTATTATTAATGATATTATTAAAATATATAATTGTAATTAATGA